TCCGGTCCCACCCACACTGAACTATTCACACCATCCTTCCCCACCTAATCTCTCTCCGCTTTGCTCTGTTCCTCCCAGCTTTGCTTCACCACGCACCTCTCAATCCAGCTTCTATCCGTTCCACCCCGCCCCGCAGTCACTCGTTCCGCTCCTCTATCTCGCCTCACTCACCCCGACCCCGCTCCACCCCTCCCGCTACGCCCGACACAGCGCGCGCGAAGGCGTGCGTGTACGCCGGCGGAAAGCGGCCGCCCCGGAATGGCCGTTCGATACAATAGTCTCCGCCGCCGCCGCCGCCGCAGCGACGGCACAACGCCTCCCGAGGCGCCGCCCGAGGAACGGCCTCTCAGACCCCTCAGGCCCCTCAGGCGCCGCAGGCAGCGAGAAGCGGGACACGAGGCGAGGAGTTCACGGAGCGCTCGATACGCCCGAAAAATAATCGCACAATGTTCGTCCACCGGCGCTGCCGCGGTCTGCTCTATTTACTGCTTTTCCAACAACAATAACTACAATGCATGGTGTGGTTGCTGAAAAAGACCAATCCACGTTGAACGTGGTTAGACAAAACGATATAATTGCATATCTTTTTCTGCAGGTAATACAATATAAAACGCTTTCGTTCTTTCTCTCTTCTTTCTTATTTCATTATATATGGTAATAGTGATCAAAAGAGGGATGGATCGTTTCTGCGTAACACGGTTCAGTTGGAACTTCAAAATTAAAAATAGATTGTGCATTCAAGAGAAAATTCTTGTTTCAAATACATCGCACACTGTGAATTCACGTATTATGAAAATAGGAATAGATCTATGACATGGTTACGACAATGTATAATATTATAATAATTAAACCAAACAAAAATGCAGAGCTTATCACTAAAAAATAAACAAGCAAATCAATAAATAAATACTTTAACACTGAAGTTCTAAAACATGTTCTAATATTCAAGTAATGTTAATGGATACTGTAGTATTCATTCCATTGTTCACCTCAATCTAAGAGTATGGAAAGAAAAGTTATTTGTAATAAATTTAACAGATTTATTATCAATCTACAAAACATAGATATTGGCAATAACTTAAAAAATGTTTCTTGTTAAAATGTCGATTATTAATATGATAAATGGAACCGTTAGAAACGAGTTTGTTGGGTCACCAATTTATTACCAATTACTTTTCACGTTAAAGTAAATATTTTTCTAGGCTTTCTTTTAACAATATTTTTATTCGTTGGTATTTGCAACGACAAACATGTGCCTATATCGTATTGTAAGGGATATCATTAAATATAGGAGATTTTGCATCGACAATAGCCGCTCAAAAAACTCTTTCCCAAATAGACATGTTTGCACTGTCATTCAAGCTGTTAAAAACTACCTATTTCTTAATGACGAATTTTGTACGTAGATTCAAGGCAGTAATATATTTGCTTCGACTTGAAAACCTGAAAATATCCCCTTGTATAATATATTTCTAATGGTTTGTCTTTCTTGAAATGTGTGACATGTACAATGCAGATATACAATATAAAGTACTCACGTGTTACAACTGCTGCTTCTGTTTTGCCTTTATTACATTGCACCACCTATCACCACTTACAATCGCAAGGAACATTGCGCAGTACATTTACAAATGTGAGCACTTGTTATGCAAATTACATATGCAATATATATAACTGACATGAAACTTTTTAAGCACTTGCACATATACCTACTGAGCAACCTGTTGCGTCTGGTCAGAATATGTTATATTCATGAGTAAAAGTTTGAAATTTGAAACGTGGGTGGTTCGAATATATGATAAATTCATACGTAGTTAAATAATTGTACGGGTTACAAATATTGGTTTCTGAGGGAAGGCATTTCGATATCCTTTGTGAAATAGTTCAGTAATTATCAATGCATAATTGATTCATGACACTGTATGGAAAATAAGATAGCAAATTCGAGTCCTTCACATTGCATTGATATTTTCATTTTCTGTGTGGGTGGGTAGATGTGAAACAGCGTGTGAAACAGAGAGAGAGAATATTTGTGACACGCATGCGGAACACAACAGCAAGGAACTACATTACCCATTTCCGCTTTATATATTTCATCATTGTCGCATCCAAGGGCTCATGGGACTTCAACCCCCTTCAAGAGCCGATGATATATATTAACAACTATTATTTTACTATTTTTCTATAGAAATGAAAATTATTCAATATTCGAGTTCTATTACTTTCAAATAAGTACGAAACACTTTTTTTAATTCAACAGAGGAGAAATGACTCACAAGAAACAAATTGACTAGGCACTACACCTATACCCACATTGAACAACTTTTAGAAAAGTCCTCATTGCGCCTCTGTATTTTGTTGAATCAACAGATAGTTTGCCATCATATTGTTATATATCATATGTCATCAATTGATATTTGCAAAAGGAGCTAAAAATTAAATATAGTTTGTAATCACTTTTGACCCAACCAAAAAAATATTGTAGTAGAAAACAATAAGTAGGGTTTTTGCATTTTACATATCTGCAAAATGAATTTCAGTGAAATATAATTGACAGAAATCGGGAGGCGAAGAATTTGGAAAACGCACGTGTTCCGAAGGACGGCAAACCGCACAACATCCCAGAGGAACGGGTTGCGTTCTCTCACTCAGAAAGCATCTTCTGTTCTTTTAAATTTTATTTAGTACTTTATTATTTATATATTATGCTCAGTTCTTCTTAGTGATCGGCGAATAGCTCGCGCCAAGGATATCCTTCAATAACATTCAAATAAAATGGGAATTTAATAAAAGTTAATGTATGGTGAGAAACCTGTTCGAATTTATTGAAATTACGAAATTATAATCTCTCTATATACAGGTTTATTATAGTATAAAAGTACTAATTAAAGTATGCGTATTCTCACTCTTAAATTATAAAAAATTATTTAACCTAATTATAATAATATCATTAAATAATACTACACTAGAACAAAGTACAATGTACTTTCACATTAAAAAATGATAGTAGCAACTGTAATAATAATAATAATAATAATAATAATAATAATAATAATAATAATAATAGTAATAATACGAACACTAATACGAACTCCGAACATCATTGGTAACGAATTTACTAATAATTATACTAAGCATAATAATAAAAAACTAATTTTAATAAATATACTAGTAATAAATTTTCCCCATTTGTAAATCTCTCGTGTAGAACCCCTTTTCCTTCCGATTTGCGC